AAGCCTGACTAGAATGGCCTGCCATTTCATTTTCTGTCACATAGCCTTAGTATTGCAGAGAACCATCATCCAATGGTGGACCTAGAGGGTTGTTCTGAGTTTAGACCCCATAGAATCAAACACCTTCATAGCCCCCAGTTCCTCCCCTATTAAGTCTGGCCAAGGTTACAGAATTTAATTGTCTTGGGATCAGTCCTGGCCAACTAATGGTCCGATTTCAGTGTAATCAAGTGTGCTACAAAAAAGCACTTGACATACAAGATGGCCGTTGACCTTCTAGCCCCAAGGGAGCAATGGACTGAGTTTCCTAATTACTTGCCAACATGCCAGTGGAGTTCCTTGTGCCTTCATATATAATGCTTGTAATGCAGGTCTTCCTTTCTAATCAATGCAAAAAGAGAGAAATTCTCATGAGTATTCTTTTGCATAACAATAGGGTTCCTTTCCCTCTTTTTCTCAACCAAAATAATCTCATATTTTGTCTTCTGGTGTTCAGGGTGGTATGTACTAGGAATGTGAGGCATTATCCCTTGAAAAATAAGTGCCACAGGCATTTGATCTTTAGACATAATTACATAATACGATGCAGAATGAGCATGTTCAGAACAACTATTAATATTAATCTTAGCGCCTACACAGTGTTTTTCTCACATCTTCAAAGTGCTTTCCTTCCATTAACTCTAAGCCTTACAATACTTCGGGGACATTCGCTGGTAAATAAGTAAATATTATTGTGAATGTATTGATGAGGCAACAGAGCCAGTGAGGCAGAGCGATGTGCCTAAGGCCAAAGAAAAGAGATCCTGCCAATTTGAAAGAGGAAAACAACTCAAAACAATACTAAGACAAACCTGCCACGCTTCTCCTCAGCTAACAAAGAGACAGATCCACATGAGATAGCAAGTAGCGTAGCATTCGATGTCTTTGAAATATTTTGTGTCCCTGTAGAGCAAAGTGAAGCCCTTTCAGGCTGTTTCTCCAGCCTTTTAACCCCTCCAGACTCTCCAGATTGACTCTGTAGACTCTCCACCCTCATCCCTAGGGGAAATGAATCATATGGAAGCTTTCAAGAATGAGCATTCACCTTGTAGAGAGGTTACAGGGCCCTCCTGCACTATCTAAGATTTTTAAAAATATATTTTTATTGGAGTTATGAAGTACAAAATAAAAATGAAGAGTGAAAAAGAAAGAAAAAGAAAAAGAGCAAAAGGTGGGGAATGAAAGAAAGAGTAAAAGTGACTTCCAGCCTTTTTCCACAAGTGCTGTTAATGAAGAAGAACACACAAAACTATTATTTTAAGTAGAGCAATGCTGAATTTATGGAGTCAATTTATGAAAGCCTATAAAAATTAAAAAACCAAATGAGCCCACTAAGAAGGGCAAGACTCTGCCCCCTTCTCTTCTCTTCTTTTCTCTCCCTCCTTCTGAGTTAATTGTGTGCAAACTGCTTTTGCATTTTGAATTCAGTTTGCAGAAAATAAAATAAGCAAGGATGAAGGGGGAAAGTGGGAGGAGGAGAGAGAAACCAAGACATTTGAACAGCAGCTAAGAAAGTGGGACAGCAGTGGACTAACTACTAAACAGGAGAGTTAGAAGATATGTGATTTCTGGGTTTGTATTTTCATTGAGGGGCATTTTTGTCAGACCATGAGGCCCCTAAAGGATTATAGGAATCAGAAACTGGTCCCTGAAACTACCCAATTTACCCACCTCTGGTGTGGAATAATCATGTGTCCTAACAGTGCTCTGTTAGAGAAGCTAGTAAAGGACAAGCTGTTTTTTAAGTTTAAGCTTTTGAGAAAAAAGAAATGGAAAATAGATTGTTGGTGAGAGACTGATCACTCGCTGTGCAAAAGCAACATTTGTTTCCAAAGGTGGCTGAATCCGTGTGTCCTACAGTACAGAGGACAATCCTTTGTTGGAAAGTCAGTCAGATGGCAGTCCTCTATTTGACAACATCCTCTCTTTAAAGAGCTATCTGTCCCACATCCAGTTTAAAGATTAAAAGAAAAAGTATGATAAGAGAACAAGAATCCTGAATTTGTCCATCAACAATAGTATAGACTGAACACTCATAGGGATACTCCTCTATGAAGAGATATATTGTTTTTCGATTTAAATAATTTACCTATGATTCATTTTATTTATCTTCCTACCAAAACTGAAACTCCAAAAAGCTGAGAACAAGACAGAAGAATATATACAAACAGAAGCACAATACATTATAATACAAACACACATTTTAAAAAAGAAATTACATATTGAAATACAACTGAATGTAAATTTTAAAATGTATTTTAAAAAATAAAAAGTACATCAAACACTCTCCCTCCCCTTCTTCAGTGAACTCCAGTCTGGATGCATTTGGGACACACATGAGCACCTGAAACCTATGCCCTGCTAGAGATGTTAAAGTTTTTGTTAACTTTATTCCTGAAGGGAAAAACAAATTATACAAAAATACATTTTTCAAATATGTTCATTTGAAATCTGTGTTTTTGTATGCATTGTTGTAGTTTGGTACTTATTGACCAAAGGTTCCTCAGTGAGAAAAATCACTAATGGAATACAAGATTCACAAAAAAGATAGCTTGATCACCCATACTGGTGTTGTTTTTTCTAATTTCAAGTCTTTAGCCAATGTGTTCATGTAGGAGAACACATTGTGTTATAGTGCAGGAAGTCAGCTCACCATGGAGCACGCTAGTGTCTTCTGAGGTACACAGCACCATTTGATGTAAAAAGTATTTCAGCACAGATTGAATTCCTGTTCCCTGATCTGCCTTTTCATTGACCAGGGACTCATTCCCATTAGGATTTACAGTTACCCCTCCATTTTAACAGACTTCAAGTCTGTGGTCTTGGTCATAGACCAACAAGCCCCATTGGCTAAAATGGCGCACACACCCCTGGTGCACATGCAGGGCTGCGCACAGCCATTCAAGCCAATGGGGCTTGAATATCTGCAAGTTTTCATTTTCATGGGGGGGGGGGTCCAGAACGGATCCCCCACAAAAACAGAGGGGCGACTGTACATTAATTTGGTGATTGCTTTAAATGTGCCTCATCCCCATTTGAAACAGTTTCAGATGCGACTGTGATCGTTTGGACTCACTTTGAAGCGAGACAAATGCAAAAAAAAAAAGTGCTCTTTTCAGACACTAGTCTTTTGCCGGTCCTTTTGAAAAGAAGCGATTAGCAAGCGTGTTCAGCAAGTGGGAACAACGGACCTGAATCGCATCAAACTGAAGGGGAGGAATTATTGTGACAGAAGGTTGGCACATCCCTCACCAGTTTTGGGAAAAATCCACCATTTTCCCCTCTCAGCACTGCCTTTGTGCTTTGTGGTGTGACCTATGGAGATATATATATATATATATATATATATATATATATATATATATATAGTAGGTGAGTGGACTGACTGCAGCTCAGTGAGACAAGTAATTGCAAAAGCAATGGAGCGCATATACTGTCAATTTTTAAAAAATTGCATGCATCCTAGGGGAGAGTCCTCCATAACACCCATGGATTCATGCATCCCAGGGGAGAATTCTGGCCACGGCACCCATGACTCCCTCCCATGTTACATGTTGCCAGTTGATTGACAGGCATTTTGAAGGGGCACAAACTAGTAGGAATGACAATCGGGCCAAAAAAGAAGCGAATAAATAAAATATCCACTTCCATAGTGGGAATGATGGATTGACTGGAATTGATTCATCGACCTGGGGTGAAAGTGAATCACAAACCTGGTTAAAAGTAAGTGGTTAAATGTAAGTGGGAATGAGACCCAAAAGTACCTGCATCTTCTCTGGATTAATTTCACTTTGTTTGCTGTCATCCATTCCATTGCTGGCATTAGCTATTGGTTTTTCCCCAGGGGTAGACAACCTTTCCCCTTTAAGGGCCAAGGGACTTCAGCTCCCAGAAGCCTCAGCCATGTTGGCCAATAGTCCCATGTTGGCCAATAGCTCCTGGGATTCTGGGAGCTGAAGTCCCTCAGTCCTTAAAGGGGAAAGGTTGCCTACCCCTGGTGTTCACCATTCCACAATGGAACAACAAGGAGGTACATTGACAAATAGTTGTGGTTGTTGTGTGCCTTCAAGTCTTTTGTGACTTATGGCAACCCTAAGACAACCCTAGGATACCTAGGATCAAACAGTGATAGAAATGGGGACTGCAGTCAGGAAATCAGAAGAAGATTAAGAATGGTGAGGGTGGCTATGAAAGAACTAGAAAAGATTCCAAAACACAAAGATATACAACTCAGCACAAAAGTTAGAATCATACAAGCCCTTGTATTCCTATTATCATGTATGGATGTGAGAGCTGGACAGTTAAGAAAGATGATAGGAAGAAAATCAATGCATTTGAGATGTGGTGCTGAAGAAGAGTGGTGAGGATCCCATGGACATCCAAAAGGGCAAACAGGTGTGTCCTAGAACAGATCAAGCTGGAAACCTCCCTGGAAGCCAAGATGGCCAATGTGAGACTGTCATATTTCAGAGGACTCTTTGGAAAAAAAACAATAATGCTGGGAAAGATGGAGGGAAGTAGGAAGAGAGGAAGGCCACATGCTAGATGGATGGACTCTATTAAGGAGGTCATAGGTACTAAGGCAGGGGTAGGCAACCTGTCCCCTTTAAGGGCCGAGGGACTTCAGCTCCCAGAAGCCTCAGCTATGTTGGCCAATAGTCCCATGTTGGCCAATAGCTCCTGGGATTCTGTGAGCTGAAGTTCCTCGGCCCTTAAAGGGGACAGGTTGCCTACCCCTGTACTAAGGGGTTGCAGGATTTAAGCAGAGCAGTGGAAGACAGAAGGTCTTGGAGATGTCTCATCCATAAGGTCGCCATGAGAAGATTGGTTTGAGGGCAATTAACAACAACAACAAAAGACAACACTATCATTGGGTTTTCTTGGCAAGTTTCTTCAGAGGGGATTTGTTATTGCCATCTTCTGTGACTGAGAGAGTGTGACTTGCCCATCAGTGGATTTTCAAGCTGAGCTGAGAGTCGAACCCTTGTCTCCAGAGTCATAGTCTAACATTCAAACCACTACACCACACTGGGGCTCTATTGACAAATATATAATTGCACAATATAGAATGTGTGTATTCAGCAGAAGGATAGTGCGACTACATGGAGGTAGATTTCTACCTTGTAAGTACAGTTTAAGATCTTGACCACTGCATATGTGTCCACCCAAGAAGATTCTGATGTTGTATAAACGAGAACACAAATTTATTGAGCAGATCCCAGAGATAATTAAAACCATTCTGCAGACTGTCTCAAGATTCCCTTTGTTTACTCACCAAGCACAGGGTCATTGGGTCTGAGTGCAGTCTGTCTATGTTGTTGACTTTAAGATGAGGCAAAATATTCCTCTTGATACTAGCTGCCTTCCGTTTTGATCCAACCAGAAATCATTTATTCAAAGAAGGGCAGTCTGCAGAAAGATGAGAAATAATATACCTGTCTGGAAAAAGAGAGAAAAAGAAAATAAAGTTGATATAACTTGAAAGCAGGTAATTGTAAATGGATTTTTTTCTCTGAAAAATCAAATAAAATAGACACAAAAATGAAACATTATTGCAAAAATTGCCTTAAGAAAGGGCACTTATGTACTTTTGGAAGATACACTGGGAACTTACAGCAGGTTAACAATTTGCAGCTAAAGAGCAACAGGAAAATGCTAACATTCTAAGAGGTATTTCATGAGCTGAAAATACATTGTAATAGGTGAAAATACTTTTATCATAATAATGTTCAACAGCCTGAATTGTTCTTAAAACTAACATTTATACCTCTGTTAATGGAGCAGCCAATCTTTGCGAGTAGAGTACAGAAATATGCCTGTACAAGGCAAAATCTGGCAAGTCCCCTCTCTCCTCAGCTTTATCTCAAGAAGGCCAAATGTAAAGAACTGTTTCTTAGCAGATGTTTGGAATATGGGAGACAGCATTATACACAGATGTCTGTTAGCTGAACATAGTAAACTCTCCTAGAACACAGAGCAACATCAGATTTTACATAAATATATTTACAGAAGTGACATGGTGTTCTTTATTGGAATGATGCTTAAAGTATTATATTTAATGGCATCATCAGGGACTATCCCTTGCAATATCTCCAGAACCCCATCTCCTGTGACACCACAAGGTCATAGGTTTTGCTCCTGAAATCTCAAACCCAGGGATAGTTCTGACCTGGCTATTGCTAGGATAACAATACAATCATAGATTCATAGAATCATAGAGTTGGAAGAGACCACAAGGGCCATCCAGTCCAACCCCCTGCCATGCAGGAACTCCCAATCAAAGCATCCCTGACAGATGGCCATCCAGCCTCTGCTTAAAGACCTCCAAGGAAGGAGACTCCACTACTCTCCGAGGGAGTGTGTTCCACTGTCGAACCGCCCTTACTGTCAGGAAGTTCCTCCTGATGTTGAGGTGGAATCTCTTTTCTTGCAGCTTGCATCCATTGTATACAAATACAAGACTCTCCTTGACTAGCAGGCCTATCTAAATCACATAGTCCAACTGTGATGTGATGTGATTATCCGTGTTTTCCTTGTACTATTCATGTGGGATAAAAGGGTATATCATTCTATATACAGTCAACCCCCCACATTTGTGGCTTTGATTTTTGCGGATTTGATTATTCATAGATTTGAGTAATACGTTCTCTGTAAGAATCTCTAGGTCCTCCCATGCAACTTTGCCAAAAGTTGACCACTGAGTAGTGATTGAGGGCCTAGAGATTCCTAGAGAAAACACTTTTCTAGGCATTTGTTAGTCCTCCAGCACGCTTCTGTGATTAGCTTCTGGTGGATGCACTGGATTTCTAAATAGGTGTTCTCCAAGATTAAAAAAAAAGTGGGGGGGGAGTTAATTGGGGCTTTTCCACTTTCATGAGGGTCTCACACCCCTAACCCCAGTGAATGTGGAGAGCCCACTGTATAATAAAGATGGGGTGTCCAGAGTGAATCAATTGCATGCTGACTTGGGAACATTGCCAGGTCATGTAACGTAATTTACCAATTGGCTAAAAGAGCTATTATTTCTTGCTTTGCTTTACAGACTTTTCATTATACTCCTTATCTTTTCAGTTTGTTAGTCTGGCTGCCTATCAATCTGGCTACCAATCTGCTATCAGCAAATAACATTTCATACAACTGATCAAATGGATTCCAGTGGATCAAAGTTGCTCTACAATTCACTCTTGCTTGCTTTCTCACCATGTGCTCCCACATTGTGGTTGATATGTTGCTACATCCATCTAGTTGAGCCCACAGGAACATTTGGGAAGAAGCAAACATCTCAAATAGACCTTAAGCCATTCCACCCGGTGGGTCTGCAGAACATTCTTCTCCACTTGTTCCCATCCCAGTAACATGCTTCATGTCTCACAAAAGCAATTCTTTAGGTATGCAGGGCAGAAAATATAACATCTGTTGCTATGCAGGAAAATGAGTATTTATTTAGCCACGACATCCAATGTGAACATGTCCAGGCTTATTAAAGTGTGAGAATTAGGTAGATTTTGTTAGTTCCTTTTCTTTGAACTGGCATAGCCCATCATTATTAGGCATTTAGAATATATAAAAGAGCAGATTAAATTACTTGTAAAATGTGATTGTATGAATAAAACTATTGTGACAGACCTCCCTAGGAATGGGTGTTTCTCCACCCCCACCCTTTATTTGTGTAGGTCTGTAAAAGATTCTTGGCAGAATAATAAAATGCCTAGTGAGGGGTTTATTCATCAAACATCTGACAGGAAAGCTAGGTACAAATCAAATGGCTAAATGGGGAAAAAAGAGAGAAGAAACATCCCCCTCTGATTCTGTCTTGGGGCCTGTCAGCACTACACTGTGACTGCATACTTTTCTTGAAGTAATGTGAACATAATGTATATGACCTGTGAAAACTGCACAACGTGAAGCAGAAAATCTATGCAGGATTTGAGTTTTTCAGGTATATATACTGTCTCTCAATTTAACACAAACAACATAAAAAAACATAAAGTAGTGTCCCTCAAGAATAAAATTGTCACAGAATAGAAGATACCAAAATAATTAAAACCTTATTCCTAAACATCATTGCAGAAAATGAGATAACAAAATAATTAAAAACTTACTCTTAAAAAGTAACATAGAATATCATTATGGCTACAGAGAAGCTTTAACAGTAGCAATTGTTTTGATCTGGTAGCCAGATTCAAACCAGGTTGCTGGCAAGTGGAATTCTCTGGAGAGGCGTTTTCCATAGACAGGGTGCTACAACTCTCTTTAGTCCCCACCCATTCCATATGTGATCTGAACCTTTTCTGAAGTGGCTAGGATACTCCAGGGGCAGCCTGGAGTATCCTGGCCTCAGAGCTGCCTCAGTCTCCACCTATTATCTGGCCCTCTGTTGCCACTCCACTGAGGTTTTCTGCCTGGGCATCATGCTGAGCCACCTAGGGCATCTGCCACCAACGTAGGTTTCTGAGGTCAAACCAAGGAACCCAGCAATGATCACAGGCTGTACATCTCATTCTGATCTGAGAGAGAAAAACTGGTGACAGCAGCGGATGCACATGGGTGACTCAGAGGGATGTCCATGTGGACAGTCACTGCATCATGAAAATGGAGGTTCTGGATTTTCTCAGAACCTCAGAACTTGCTCTGGATTTTCAGAAAATCCAGAGCAAGAGGAAGCTTTTATTCCATTCTAAGGCTGTTATACTCTGGTCCTGGTGCTGAATGTGCCAGATGTTGTCTGGACTGCTTGCAACAGAACCAGGGTTTGGATCACTTAACAGGACACTGCCAGAAAGGCCCATATGGACAAAACCCCAATGATAGCAGTAGCAGCTTCCACAGTGGATTCTGAGGATGACATTGTGACCTCCCTTCCAAATTACCCACTGTTCTGTATAATATCAGTGTTATCATTTCTCAAGCTTGGGGCAAAGGTGGGATACAAATAAATAAAATAGTACCGTAATAATAATCTGTACAGGCTGTGTGCAGAATTCCTCAGTTCCTCAGTCATCCCAGCTTGCAAGAGAAGAGATCATTCCTGAGAGTGTGTGACAAGCTCAAGGCCACTCTGCTCTATCCGTTTCCATGACTGAGGCTTAGGGAAAATTTGCCGTCAGTCCCATCAACTGGCAACTTTCTGCAGCCAATGCAATGCCCCAAATTGGATCATGAGACAGGCCAACCCTATACAATAGGGCAGGGTAGTTGGGAAAGGTGAAAACAGACTGTACCAGTGATTAAGTGTACCCCTCTCTTTATGCCTGGGTGGCAGACCAGAATGAAGCCTGTATCTTGTTGTCTTGGTTGCATCCCTGCAACAAACCAATCATTCTGACTAGCTGGTTGAAACAGATGATTTCTGGTGTTGTTGGAGAAGAGCTGGAAATGGAGATGAAGCTATTAACCACAGCATAGCCCTGCTCACCACTCCCAAGGTCCATGACTTGGGTCAAGAACTCACCAAGTGCCAATTAAATGTCCCTGAGATACCCGCAAAAAGGAAATACACACAGTGCTAAGAGGGAGGGAGACATTTATCTGAAGACTAAGAGTTTGCTCTGAATTTAAAAAAAAATATCCTGCCTCTTTGCCAAAAATGCATACTTCTCAATTTTATTGCTAATGTATTGGTTCTCCTGATGTTGATGTTGCATTCAATTTTAGTGCCAACTGAATTTTATTTTTTAGCACCCGCCTGAGGGGAGAGGGATAAATTTAATTGTAAAATCAGGGAGGTTTGACCTTCTCCTTCCTGCACATATATTGGGGTTTGTCTGGACTGGACACCCACATAGTTATTTACAAGAAAAAAGAAGATCTCAGCTAGACATTACTTCAGTGTAATAAAGGAAGAGTATAAAAGTATTTGTACTAAAAAAGCCGGCTGCTAAACTGGTATGTAGTTCAATTATCTACGGGATAAAATCCTGAAAACATGTTATATTCCTCAGAATATTGTTTCTTTCTTTCCTCAGTTTTCACTACAAATGTACAAAGGGATGAAAAATGATATAAACCAGATGCATGATTCTGGCATGTATTT